TCATTGTGTGGGCAGCCGCTAAGGAGATAAAACATTGTTTACAAGAAAGCCAACTTGTGTGTACTGCACATGAGTCTTATATTTGCAATTCTTATCAGTAAGTTATTTATATTTGCATGTCTTAATTTTATAATTTATGCATGATCCAAACTCAAAGCAGTGATTTTGGTTAAACCAGCCTAACTAGATTTGTCTCTGAACAGGACCCAAGACTCTGTTTCAGCCCAATTTATTTGATTTATTCAGTTTTTCCTTTCCTGTCGTGTTTTTAGAAAAACAAATCTTTATTTCACATACTCGGATATTATTTCATAGGCTGTAACAATTCTAATGTCTAACATTGCATTCTACTGCATAATTTATTGCAAGACCCACTGCAAATGTATTTATATTTCTGATATCCGAGATAGATTTACAATACTGAGTATAATTTTCTTCTTTGATTACTTTCCTATTATATCCTAAAGTTGATATAGTTGCTAACATAAACACTACTCATCCGAGTTTCAACAAGAAAATGAATAAAGTTCGAGACTGAGAGCTTCTTATTGTAATTATCATCTTTATATTTCTTTTGATCTTTAGATGTTGGCGGTATTCATTCATAGTGGAAGCACACAAAAATGGCAGAGAAGAAGTGAATCTGTACCGATTACTGTAATCTAAGCAGGGTATTTATTAGTATACCCTTTTTGTGCAAATTCCTTTAATTTAAACTCAATTTTAAGAGGGCAAACATGAAAATCCACGCCCTTAAACAACCTCAGGTCTACTCACACACATTGAAAAATAGAAATCATATTCATATATATCATATATAATAAAAGAGAATCTTAGGCCCGCCTACGTGGCGCCACCACAAACCAGAATTTCTTTTTAATTTATTTATTTCCAAAACTAACAACCCCCTTTCATGAAAAGCTGTGACATTTATGAAAAGTTATGACTTTTATGAAAAGTTGCGACTTCAGTGAAGAGTTGTGACTTTTGTGAAAAATAGTGACTTTTTGTGACCTTTTCGAAGGGTTGCAACCTTTCCGATAAGGCACAATAACCATTTGTTGACACTACCCTTTGTTGTCTATAAATAGAGGGATTTCCTCTCATTTTAAAACAACAAAAATTCTGAACCTCCTCCTGATCGCCATCTTCTTCTTCTTCACAATTAAATATTTGTTTACTTTACTCCTGTTGAATGGATCACTGACACCATTGCTTATGTTACAGATCCCGGTATGTATTTTTACAGTCATTAATTTATGTTTATGTTATTGAGGATAAAGGATAAGATGTAATAATTTGCATTTCCTTTACATTAGTAATGTTTGTTACTATGTAATCTTGTATATAAGATAATATAGTGTTTTAGTTTTAATGACGGATAGGTTTTAAGTATTATTTTATAAATTTCGTGATATTAAATTCCCTCGCGAAGCGCGGATAATTTTACTAGTAAAAGATAAATTAAAAAGAATATAAATTTAAAGTATCCTATAGTCTTTTTTTTAAAGTACCCTATAGTCAATTTTGTTTATAAATAATACTAAATACGTCCTGTAGTTTGTAACATAAGTTAGTTGTAAATATATATTCCCGCATATTTTTAAAATTAAAAGTCTTTATGTTTTTTAATATTTTGGCAAGAAAAAGTGGGATTCCTAGTTAAATAGGAATAGGAAACCAAATTAAAATAGTTTTTTTTTATAGGTTTTGTTGTTGTATTATAAATACGTATATGGGGAGGTATCAAGAATTTCAAAGTTACTTAAATTTGATAAGTAGAGAAATGGAAAATAATTTCAAGGATTGATATCATATCTGAGAAGCATAGGGAATTGAGAGACTGAGAGCTTCTTATTGTAATTATCATCTTTATATTTCTTTTGATCTTTAGATGTTGGCGGTATTCATTCATAGTGGAAGCACACAAAAATGGCAGAGAAGAAGTGAATCTGTAACGATTACTGTAATCTAAGCAGGGCATTTATTAGTATACCCTTTTTGTGCAAATTCCTTTAATTTAAACTCAATTTTAAGAGGGCAAACCTGAAAATCCACGCCCTTAAACAACCTCAGGTCTACTCACACACATTGAAAAATGTTCCTTAACAGCACAAAAAGTTAATTTGGTTTTGAAACGCCGGTGATGTAGTTAATGGATTTTGAAAGGCTTATTAATAGATGTGCGCTGCCTAGGTTGTATGCGCTCCATTTTTCTCTCGATCTCTCTCTTACATGTCTTTTGTAAACTAGTTTTTTTATTAAAAAAAACACAGTCCATCATAATCATCTTCTCTAGCACCCCACCCCCCACCCCCCACCCCCGATCCGCAAGCCCTTTCCCACCACCCGCTCCTCCCTCCCCCATCCAAATCATCTTCCCCACCAGCCCATCTTATAACCCCTCTTTTTCTCTCGGTCTCTCTCTTATAATGAATTCACTCTAGAATGAACAAAGTATAGTAAAGGCGTCTAAGTAAAAAATTGTACCAACTTTAAGTGAGTGCATATAATATATCGTGATTGCATTCATCAAAATTGCATGTTGATTACAATCATTAGAGTGAATTCACTCTATTTCATTGTATGATAGAGAGAGAATAGGTACAATATGTTGAGCTAGCACATACAACTATCGTGATTGTATGCTTTGCTACAGTTGCCGGAACTATCAATACAATCTAATACTTAACATTAATTGCTACTGTATTCATGGAATCAATGTTTAATTCACACATCACTACAAATTTGTCTATAATCTCATACAACAAAGAAAATCAACTTTAATGACATGACTTATTAAACGTCAAGTTTGTAAATGAATTATTCCTTCTAATATTAGGATGTTGAGAAATTACATGCAAGCAAATGAAGTAAAGTTTGAAAAATGAGAAGTAAAGAAATGTAATATAAATTAGGTAAGGAAAATTAAATTTGAAAAAAAAAATAGAAATCATATTCATATATATCATATATAATAAAAGAGAATCTTAGGCTCGCCTACGTGGCGCCACCACAAACCAAAATTTCTTTTTAATTTATTTATTTCCAAAATTAACAATCCCCTTACTTGTGACATTTATGAAAAGTTGCAACTTCAGTGAAGAGTTGCGACTTCAGTGAAAGAATTGTGACTTTTGTGAAAAATTGTGACTTTTATGAAAGGTTGTGAACTTTTCGAAGGGTTGCAACCTTTCCGATAAGGCACAATAACCATTTGTTCACACTACCCTTTGTTGTCTATAAATAGAGGGATTTCCTCTCATTTTAAAACAACAAAAATTCTGAACCTCCTCCTGATCATCGTCTTCTTCTTCTTCTTCTTCACAATTAAATATTTGTTTACTTTACTCCTGTTGAGTGGATCACTGACACCATTGTTTATGTTACACATCCCGGTATGTATTTTTACAGTCATTAATTTATGTTAATGTTATTGAGGATAAATGATAAGATGTAATAATTTGCATTTCCTTTACATTAGTAATGTTTGTTACTATGTAATCTTGTATATAAGATAATATAGTGTTTTAGTTTTAATGACGAATAGGTTTTAAGTATTATTTTATAAATTTCATGATATTAAATTTCCGCGCGAAGCACGGATAATTTTACTAGTAAAAGATAAATTAAAAAGAATATAAATTTAAAGTATCCTATAGTCTTTTTTTTAAAGTACCCTGTAGTCAATTTTGTTTATAAATAATACTAAATACGTCCTGTAGTTTGTAACATAAGTTAATTATAAATATATATTCCCGCATATTTTTAAAATTAAAGTCTTTATGTTTTTTAATATTTTTGGCAAGAAAAAGTGGGATTCCTAGTTAAATAGGAATAGGAAACCAAATTAAAATAGGTTTTTTTAATAGGTTTTGTTGCAGTATTATAAATACGTATATGGGGAGAATTTCGTTGTTTGAAGCCACATCTGAGGGACTTACGGGACGTATCAAGAATTTCAAAGTTAGGTAAATTTGATAAGTAGAGAAACGGAAAATAATTTCAAGGATTGATACCATATCTGAGAAGCATAGGGAATTGAGATAGAAGAAGAAGAACAACTTCAGCCATCTCTTTTCAATTCCTATCCTCCTCAGATCTGATTTCAATTCATTGAATTAACGCTCTACAACAAAGCAACAACAAATAGGTATGATCTTCTTTATATTCTTGTTTCATGTTATATTGATATACGTACATATTTGTTAAATTCGATTATGTCGTCGTGTTTATAATAATCTTTACTCTGGAAAATCTTTACGCTTATTTGTTCAATTTGGCGGCATCAACTTAGCTTGTACCAATCGATTAGGTTTTCCTGTATATATGATTTGCTTGGGAGAAAAGAAATATTTTCAACGTTTGAAGCCCTATCTGAGCGGCATAAGGGATTCAGATACAATTTTATTCATTGAATTAACGTTCTACAACAAAGATCCTCAGATACGATCCGACTCATTGAATTAACGTTCTACAACAAAGCAACAACAACAAGTATGATCTTCTCTATATTCTTGTTTCATGTTGTATGTCATGATCTTCTTTATATTCTTGTTTCATGCTATATCGACATACGTACATATTTGTTAAATTCAATTGTGTCATCGTGTTTATAATAATCTTTACGACTATCTTGAAAATCTTTACCCCTTTTTGTTCAATTTGACGGTATCAACTTAGATTGTACCAATCGATTAGGTTTTCCTGTATATATGATTTGCTTGGGAGAAAAGAAAGGGCTCACAGCATTATAATCGACTTCTGATCAAATCTTGACAAGTTCTTGATTTTAACAATTCTTTTTCTTGCGTAAAGATGATAAGTAAAAGATTAGTTATCCTCAGACACACATATTTGTTGATTGATGTACATATAAAAGATATGCAAGAATGAGAAACATCAGATAGAGATCTAAGCATTCATCCAAACAAACAATTCACTCTGTACATGTGTGTGCCATGATCCAAGCACTAGGAAAAGTCATGAATTTATCTAATCTACGAATTTAGATGTGAGCAACTGTGCCGAACTTCTCCTTCGGATCCAGTAAGAACACCAAAATTGGACAGTTTAGCCATGGCATGAGCAAACTCTGTCCTAAATATGACCCCATCATCAATAGCGTAATCTGTCACTGCTGCAGCAGTCTTTTCATTAGCCATCAACTGTTGATCAGCAAACAGCAGCCCTCTTCCTCTCATCAAGGTCTTGTAGTAGTGATTATCTAATGAAGTCGCAATTGATACACTCAGACCCCTAGCTGTATCTGTATCTTCATCATTCAACATATTGCTGATGGTGTTGTTGTCGTCTGGACACTTCCGCCTCAACTCTTCAAGAAAGTCGGGAGGAATTGTTGGATCAGGTAAACCTGTCCCCGTGAAATTACTGAGCCTGGGCCGAATAAATTGACAGCCAATCCTCCCAATATTATGTGCTCCTTCAAATGATAAAACAACAAAAAATGATAGAATTTCAGAATATGTATATTCCAAAAAAGGTGCAGTGAAGATTAAAGTAGCGGGATTAGAAAGATTACCAAGGAGGGCCACTGTTTCCCTCTCATCAAATCCTCTGAGTGAAAATAGCCTAAGAGTTTCACTGATATTCCCATTTGGTCGTGGAATTTCAGCCATCGCCTTATCAAAGAATGACTCCTTACTGTCCCTTCTGCCTGTAAGCACAGGATAATATGGTCCACCAGCCTAAAAATTGTAGGAAATCAGCATGTGAGAACGAAGGTGGAATATTAAAGAACAGGAAATCAGCATGAAAAAAAAGCCAATTTGGTTCGAAAAGCTACATGGTCCCATTATATGCACAGTTTATGAATATTCCCATATTTTCAGAACTGGGTTGTTAACATATGATACCACTGAAAGGTGCAAAATGTTCTGTTATGTAAATATACACTACAAGATTGTTGAACTAAACTATTTTAAGAAGTACGGTACAAATGCTAGTGTATGAGTTGCATCTATTTCACTAGCTAGCCAGATTCTATTCTCTTAATTACTTCTTGAACAAGGAACACTGAGACAGAACCATGTAAAATAGAAAGCACTAAGAGCAAGAAAAAAGATATCAGCAAATGAACTTAAGATGCTGGACAGTAAGAAATAAAGGATATGGCCAAATTCATACCAAAACTATGCCATCTCTTGTTGCCAGGACAAGGATATCAGAACAAGAGACAACCCCAGGGCATTCCTCTTCAATTTCATCCTTTATCGTGTCAATGAAGTTGAAGCCTTTCAGCGTCCTGTTTGGGATGGCCTCACGTTCAACAGTCCCATTCTCATTTCTATCAGCTAGCAGAACGGATGCATCACAACCCTGAAAATCAATAGGATAGATAATTCATTGTCTGGAAACTCTACCTTATCGAAAAAAGAAAAACCATTCTATGTCTAATATCATTTCTGACTTCCTTATGACTCTAAAAGATCACCTCTGCCTTTTCAGAAGTAATCACATCCCACCCTCTTTCTATTATCAAAGGAAATCCGGGAAAAGGAGTGTGGATGCATACACAGATGGATATAACTACAGGTAAATATACATAGAAAATTTTACAGAAAATCAACAAGCAGAGACATAAGTGATGCTCTGGTGAAACAAGCGAGAATAGCAATAAATGTGTTTATCTGTGTCCCCAAACTCAAAGCCAAGAAAACTGGATCAGCTAAAACCTCCATCTGAACCAAACAAAGAACACAAGGCACAAAGACACATGACAGCATATGAAGAACCACAAGTGCATAATGTTCAAGATCACACGGCTAATTATATAAAAAAAATCCACAAGTCCGTCAAAGAAATGCAAGTGCATCAGGAACCATTGTCAAATATGAAGAAATACAAAATCCAAAAAAGTATTGTCGATACACATCTACATGGACAAAACCACAGATAAATCAACATAGAGCAATATTTTGAACTCATTAACAACACAGTTCTGTAAGACGTAAGTAGGGAGGGATGATAGGAACTGGTCCAATTGGAGCATTAAGGACCCTGGACACAAAAAGAATAAGACAAGTGACAAGCTACAGAAAGTTCACACACTGCAACATACCAAAAATCAAAGGCTTATTAAAGAAATCTCTACAATGCTATAAGAGAAATACATAAAATGAATTCACATCCAATACATGCATGAAACGTGAACAGAGGAATAATAGTGACAGAAGGCTGGAAGTACTTGGAACAATTTTGTGTTCATCAGGGTTACATGCATTAGAGATTGTAGAACCAAAAAAAGGCTAAGAACTAACTGCATAGAATAACAGAAGAAAAGACACAAAAGAGATCAATAATTGTTGTTTTCTTGGTAGTAAACTCATCTACATTAGACTTGCTTCCAAAATTAGAAGTGAAAGAATATTACAGCATAAGGTAAATGTACATAGAAAAGTTTTCGGAAATCAACAAGCAGAGACAGAAGTGATGTTCTGGTGAAACTAGCGAGAATAACAATGCATGTGTTTATCTGTGTCCCCAAACTCAAAACTGGATCAGCTAAAACCTCCATCTGAATCAGAAGATGAGACGAAGAACACAAGGCGCAAAGACACATATGAAGAATCACAAATGCATGATGTTCAAGATCATACTGCTAATTATAAAGAAGAAAACATCCACAAGTATGTCAAAGAAAAATGCAAGTGCATCAAGAACCAATGCCAAATATGAAGTAATACAAAATCGACAAAATATTGTCAGTACACATCTAGATGGACCAAACCACAGATAAATCAACATAGAGCAAATATTCTGAACTCATTAAGAACACACTTCTGTAAGACATAAAAGTAGGTAGGATGATAGGAACTGGTCCAATTGGATCATTAAGGACCCTTGACACAAAAAGAAAAAGACAAGCCACAGAAAGTTCTCACAATGCAATATATTTAAGGCTTGTTGAAGAAAAAATGTCTAAAATGCTATAAGAGAAATACATAAAATAAAAACAGATGAATAATAGTGACAGTAGGCTGGAAGTATTTAGAACTATTTTGTGTTCATCAGGGTTACATGCGTTAGAGATTGTAGAGCCAAAAAAAGGCTAAGAACTGCAGAGAATAACAGAAGGAAAGACACAAAAGTGATCAATAACTGTCGTTTTCTTGGTAGAGACACCATTAGAGTTGTTTCCAAAATAAGAAGTGAGATAACATTAAACAGTAGAGAATACAGCATAAAATGTCAATCTCCTTTCTGCTTCACTTAAGGTCCTAGACGTTTACTTTAACCTTCATAGGGCTCTAAGTTCTTGCTTAACCCTAATCACCCAAAAAGAGAAGAAAAAGGAAACCTAAAGGCTCAGTGACCTAATCAGGATTAATAAAATTTTAAAAAGAAAAGTGTGTACATAGGTGTGCGCATAATGTATCCATGAACAGATAAACTGTCTAGAGTGATTAGAAAAATGAGATTAGTACAAAAATCCCAATTGCATGAAGCGTAGTGGTATGCATGATTTACAGCTACAGAGCCCCTGAACCCATAAACCCCCATTAATATGAGTTAAAAGAACTCATGAACATGCACATATCAAGAATCACAGTCTGTAACAAATGACAAAACAAGAGAAATATAGAACAACACCCAGAAATTGAGAATTGAGAAAGAACCAACAGAAGACTGAGAAAATAAATACATTTCATCAAGGGATGGAGAAAATGGAGAGTACCCCAATGAAACAATCATGGAACATTAGGCGTAATAGTTGTGCTGGGGCATTGTGTTGCAGCTGGACAATTGTCTTCATCTTCGACCACACAATGTCCTCAAGATCCTCACATTTATCATCATAATAACCATATCTGAGAAGAAAAGGGAAACCAGAGGCACTTCCTGGATCAACCTCTGCATGCGCCGGCATTGTAGCCACAAGGCAGATAACCAAGAGTGAGAAAACCGCCATTAAAGCCCAGTTCTTGCTAAACATTTCGAAATGGGTGAAGAGAAAGTATAGAGATTGGGGGATATTGGTGTGGACTGACACCTGACTCGCCTTCTAATCTACAGTACTCTATATATACACAGAGAGAAGTAGGTAGCGCCAAAATTTGAAACAGCAAAAACGGGTATAATAAGTTTTTCTTTATGGGCACCAACGGTGAGTTCCCCAACTGAGACATTGCGATATCAGAATTGACAACAATTTCGTCTCAACTGAGAAATGGTGGAAGCGGTTTGGAGGAATTGGGGAAAATCCGAAAATTGTGTACAGCTAGTGAAGAGTGAAGACGACTAAAAATTGATAAAGATGGTCCCTTATCTTTCGTATTAAGTCTAAAGTAGATCTTTTAATTGATTTTATTTCTTTTAATTTGTCAAAAATAGTATTGGCACTGCATTTTTATCTTGTGATTTTTATACTCTTTCTGATTAATAATAATTGTCCATTATTAACTTGACATAAAAATTAAGAAACAATAAATAATAGAGATAATGTTACCAAATCAGACCCTTATTAAATAATATAAGTCATCAAAATATTAAAAAATGCATAGTATAAAATAACAGGTAAAATAGACACAATATGATAAATTATTCATTGACTTTATCAATAATACAAGTATTATTGGTCATTTCAAAATAGTATAGTGGATAAATAAAAATAGACGAAGGGAATAATATTTACAAACATCGCCGTCACCTACCTTTACTTTAATGTTGGAAGTCTCAAGTTTGAAACCCCTTGCCAGAGAAAGCAAGGGGTTTGCCTTCTAGGTTGAACTCGTTGCACCAGGCTTGTCTAGTATGGTTACCTCTCGTATGTAGTTTGCGAGCTATTGCATAAGAGCAAGACTTTTACCCTATGCGCGCACCCAAAGGATAACGGCTGCGGATTTCCCTTGTCATAAAAAAAAAGCTGTTATACAATACTTTACTCACGAGTCACAAGGTGGATTTGATGCTTTTTTTATTATTATTTTAAAAGAATTATAGAAGCTACGTAAAATAACCTTCCACAAATATTTATAGATAATTTTTTATTCTACCCCCTCTTTAAAATGCATGTAAAAATATTTACTACGTACTCACTTTCAAATTTAAGATATTTAATATGCTTTTATATAAAAAGAGTTAAAAGAATGAGAATTACGAATCTGCTTGGAATTTTAGAGCGGTGAAGAGATTAAAAAAATAAAGAGGTGCCAAAGACTGAAAACTAAAAAGGCGGGAAAGGATATTTTATTTTGTTTTTTTAGTTTTAATTTCATGATTACATGCTTTTTTTTCCTTTCATTTTTTAGCATATTAAAATAAATATTTTTCAGGTACATAATATTTTCGGAGAAATTTAAAGACTATTTATGTATTTTTATTTAAAAATAAATACTCCTCTGCTCCTATCTCTCCCTCTTTCCCCCAAATTCAGCAGAACCCTAATTTCATCGATTCACCGGCAACACACCACTTTCCTCGATCGATCGGTCCGATTTCTCTTCCTTTACACGTATGGTATGTTTATGATCGGTGTTATTTAGTTTAATTCATTATCTTTCTGTTAGCGTCTCAGCTGATTGTAGATAACTGAACAGGAGATTGACGATGGAATCGTCTTCGTCTGTCATAACGCCAGAAGATGTAATGGGGACACTCATGAACGATGGAACAATTGATTCCATGAGGTTGAAAATCATTACTCAGCTCAAAGCTAATGTATGGTTTGCTTTCACCTACCCACAATTACCTACTTTTTATTCAAACATATGTTTTCCTACAAATGTTTATCTAAGATTATAAGTTGGTGAATGCCGAGTACTATGAAACCCGTAACTCTTTTGTAATATGATTCCAGAATTAGTAGAACATATGATACATAAACAAGACGCTCAAGCTTGGTCTCAATTAGCAAGTAAACACTCCAACTTTGAGTATGTATATCTAGACACCTCAACTCGTCTCTATTGTGTTTGTTGAAAACTCCTACTAACAAAATGATAATCTAGATACCTCCAAAATTTATGTGATACGTCAGCATCGGGTGTCCACAAAGCATAGTGGGGACGAGTTGGAGTGTTTAGTTGTCAATTGAGACCAAGTTGAGATGTCTAGATGTGCACTCTCAAATTTGGAGTGCCTACTTATTAGTTGAAGCCAAATTTGAGATTTTGTATGTATTAAGCCTTGGTAAAAATATGTATATCGAAAAAAAAGATTTTTCTCTCTCTTTAAGCACTCAGACACTGTATGTGAGTGTATACACATTGCCTGAACATGCATGAGCCCCTTCTTGTTATTACACTGATAATTCATTTCTTTTGTCACGTAGGAAGAACTCAAGAATACCACCATAAAGATGGTTGAGCAAAGCAGGGTTCTGTACACGTCTGGCGCAGAAAAGCAGACCAAAAGGGAGCTCTTTGACGCATTGCGACAAGAACTTGAGTATGTTTGTTATTTTTTCTGGTTTGGCTTCTCCATCATCTCAAGAAAGCTAAATTTAACAGCATCAACATGAAATATAATTGAAAGAATAATTTTTTGAAATTCGGACTTGGTTTAGCCTGAATATATTATGATTCATCACACGTGAATATGTTTGTTAGACCAGCAAAAAGAAATCCTGAATATATTTTTCATGACCTAAATCCAGGACAAAACGATTAAAAATATTGTGTCGAAGCCAAAATATTAGGTAGCACTACGGCATTGTAATGAAACAAAGGACATCTTACAAAACCTTGCGTGAAAACAATTGAACTAACTAAAGCCCAAGACTAATGAAGTGAATCTTTACATGTTCTTTTTTAAAAATTGACACTTAGAATTACTTTTTAAAAATATTGCCAAACTCAAATTGTTTCTCTAGTATTGGCAAAAGCGGTTCTCAAATGATTTGGTCAAATACAAACTGCTATCCCAATGTATGTCTTGTAAAACTCTTTTTGAGAAGAAATCCTTTCAACGTAAGTAGATTTTGAAAGCTAGACCAAGAGGACTCTGATTTAGCTATTAACAAAAATAAGAAACTCGTGATGTTGGCTGCAAGTGAGTCAAATAATTTGAAAATAGGAAATTTTAGGCTACATGAAACAAGGAGAGTTACTAAATAAGAATTTTCCTCTAAATAGGAGATACCATATATTGTGCAAGAAAGAAAGAAAACTCTATACTATTAACCTTAACAAATCGAAAGAATTCAAAACATTCTAACACTGAATTTCTGCATAAATTCTTGACTTTCACTAGGGCCCTGAAATTGAGTTTGTCAACCTAAATTGAAAAGTCAAGTGAAGCATGTTGAAAGAACTTACAGTTTGATGACTTATCAGTACCACTGACGATTCTCTTGACTTTCAGTACATTTGCTCACATAAAAACTTGGTTTTTTGACTGGTGTGCATAATCATCTCAGAATACTGAATTGAAATACATACAGTCGAGGTGTGTGTAAGTTGACCCGGACACCACGGTCATCAAAAAAAAAAAAAACTGAATTGAAATACATTGGGGGAATTATTATTTTGTCTGATTATACTTATAAAAGTGGTCCATATGGTAAATTTAGTATTTTGTTTTGCTTGCACTACTTTGGTTGAGATATTCCTCAAGTGCGGAGTATTGAAATATTATCGACCCAAATAGAGCATTTATGATATTGAGGATTCATTCACCCGACCTCAGCTTGCTTGAGATTGAGACAGTTGTTATAATACACTGTTTTAGTTGAAGGTCAGACATATCTCTGACGGTACATGTAAATGTGGGTTGGTTTTGGGTGCATTAAACATATAGGAAGAGCAAAAAGGCATTTCAAGGAAGTTCCTTGACCTTGTGTGACATCTCAGCAAGCGTTTGATTGATATGGAAGTTTTTAAACAGAGGTTTTCAGGATCTTGATATTAGACATCTGTTGTTGGAATTGCTGATGCTTTATAATTAGAGCTTGAAAATTCTGTGATCTTAATCAACGTTGTTCGTTTATAGTGTATATTTGGTAGAAAACTGAATCTTGTCCAATATCCAAGTTAGTCTGATTTAATCTGCTCCTAACTTTTACCAGGACTTGGAGATGCTCATTGCTCCTGCACACCCTGCGTAGGATGCAATTATGCTGAAAATTCCACGTGCTTGCCACTGTTCTTCTTAATTTATTCTAGAATTATTCCCCCCACATAATCTCATTTAAGAATTGACAAATTTTCAGCTGCATAAAATCAGAGTGTCAATGTTTTTATCTATTTTAAACGCTTCAGACCTTGCTGGCTGAACAAGTAGAGATGATCACTGTACTCATTTTGGTTTGAATTAATGCTAAGATTACGAGGCAAAGAATAAGTGCTCACCTTATGAAGTTGTCTTTTATTTTTTTGGTTGTCAATAATTTGGTTTCTATTCTCTGCTTGCTCAATATTTTCTTGGTTGTCAATAATTTGGTTTCCGTTCTCTGCTTGCCCAATTTTTCCTGAAGGACTTCAGTGCCTGAGAAAGCCTCTAAATCGGTTTGGGAGCTTATTTTGGATAGTAAAGGAATAGGGAAGTAAATAAGTGAAACTGTTGAACAAGTGTTCTGTCGGTTGAGTGAAAGAGAAGCACCATTATTTGTGTCGGATTTCGGACCTCAACCAGAGAAAGGGAAAGAGAAAAAGAGTGGGCAGAAAGAGGAAAGCAGTGAAACTGGGAAAGATTATTCTGAATCTGCAGCAAAGAAGAGAAAGATGAACACAGAAGAGGAGTTTGATGAAGCTGTCTGCAAGTCTAGTGACAAATCACCCTATCAGATGATTCTAGTAAAATGCCGCCACCAAGTGTGAGAAGTCAATCCACTTCCTGAATAAACTCCATTGTGTCTTATCGAGTTTTTAGTTAGGGTATCCTTTTCTCCCCACCCTCTTGTTTGTTCGTAGATAGAATCTTTTTCACATATACTGGCTCGACATAGTTAATACTAAAAAGTTATAACTTATTCCTAGGTGGTGCTAGCTTCTTTGA